CGTTTGAAATGCTCTGCATGGGGCAGGTACCGATACAGTAGAACCAATGAGAGACTTCTTGATTTTAAGCAGAAGCGTGCGATCGCTCACCGTGTCATTCGTGATGCTAAACGCATTTGCTGGCGAGACTGTTTCCACTATCACCTCTGCTTCCTCTATGAGTGCAGTCTGGAAAAAAGTGAGGAAATTGAGTGGTAAATACTCTCCTGACCTGGCTCCTGTTCTACGGGTCGCCGGTATTGATGTAGCAAACCCTCTTGACGTTGCCGTTGAAATTAGCACTCGTCTGGTCCGTATTTCCCGGGGACTCCATCTATGCCCCTCGTTTCTTTCCTCAAAGTCTGCCAGAGAGAGAGTTAGTACCCTTGGATTTTTCTTCTCTGAGAAGAACAGTATAATGTGCCTTTTACACTTCAGGAACTGGAGGCAACACACTCAGCTTGCCGATCATCGGCAGCTGGACCTGACGATATTCATATTCGTATGTTACAACATTTACATCAGTCAGCCCTTGTAGTCCTCTTACACCTCTTCAATCTTATTTGGGCACAAGGAGTTCTTCCACAGATGTGGAAATCTGCCATTGTTCTCCCTTTCCGCAAGCCGGGTACTACAGGACATGATGCCTCCCACTATCGTCCCATCGCTCTTACTAGTGCAGTTTGCAAAGTGATGGAACGTCTGGTAAATCAACGTTTAATGTGGTATTTAGAGACACAACAGTCTCTCCGCTAGTCAATATGACTTTCGTAAGGGCCATTCTACCATAGACCCCTTACTACGATTAGATACGTATGTTTGTAATGCCTTCGCGAATAATCACTCAGTTATTGCCATATTTTTTGACCTTGAGAAGGCATATGACACAACCTGGAGATATAATATTTTGGCCCAAGCCCACTCCTTAGGCCTCCAAGGCAATCTACCATCCTTTCTTAAGAACTTTTTAACTGACAGACACTTCCGTATTCGAGTCAATAATGTGCTTTCCCCGGACTTCGTCCAAGCTGAAGGTGTCCCTCAGGGATGTGTTCTGAGCACAAAACTTTTTCTCCTAGCTATAAATGATTTGGCCTCTGTTCTTCCACCCAATATTTGGTCATCACTCTATGTTGATGACTTCGCTATTGCTTGTGCAGGTGCTAACTGGCATCTCATTGCAGTTTCTCTCCAGCATGAGGTCGACCGTGTTTCCGCTTGGGCCACCACGCATGGGTTTAAATTTTCCAGTACCAAAACTCGCCAAATTACTTTCACTAGACGCTCTGTCATCTCCGATCCTTTGTATCTCTATGGCTCCCGTATCCCCGAACGTGATAGTCAGGTTTCTAGGCCTTCTCTTTGACCGTAGGTTATCCTGGAAACCTCACATTACCTCTCTGAAGGCAACTTGTCACAGCCGGCTAGACCTTCTTAAAACCCTTGCTCATCTTTCCTGGGGAGCTGATCGTCGAACTCTGCTTCGCCTACATTCAGCCCTCATTTTATCGAGACTCGATTATGGTGACCAGATTTATTCAGCGGCCTCTCCTGCTACTTTCTCTAGCCTTAACCCCATCCATCACCAAGGATTACGTTTATGCCTTGGTGCTTTTCGCTCTTCCCCTGTTGAGAGCCTCTATGCAGAAGCGAATGTTCCATCCTTGTCTGATCGCCGTGATGCCCATTGCCTTCGCTACTATGTACGCTCTCACGATCTCCACAGTCCTTCCATTTATAGAATGGTTACCGATATTAGTAGACATTCTTTATTTGTTCGCCGCCCCTGTTTGCTCCGTCCCTTTTCTCTTCGCTTACATTCGCTCTTGTCTTCCCTTCAGTTACCACCTTTATATGTTCATGTAGCATCTCACTTTTTCCTAGCCCCCTGGGAAGTTCCAGCTGTTCGGGTCTGTTCTTTCTCACTCCCTTGCTCGAAAGCCCAACTGCCTACGGTGGCTTCCCGCTCTCTTTTTCTTGATCACTTCCACTCTCATTCTCATGCCATCACAGATGGCTCTAAGTCTTCAGACGGTGTCGGATTCACAGCAGTGTTTCCAGACAGCGTCGTGCAGGGACATTTACTATCTTCGGCTAGCATTTTTACTGCTGAATTGTATGCCATTCTTGCAGCATTTACTCGTGTCGCATCTATGCCTGTGTCATCATTTGTGGTAGTCTCAGACTCCCTTAGTGCTCTACAGGCTATACGAAAATTTGATACATCTCGCCCCCTAGTTCTCCATATCCAACTTTGGCTACGCCGTATCTCTACAAAGCATAAAGATACATGTATTGTTTTTTGTTGGGTCCATGGTCATGTCGACGTACAGGGCAATGAACAGGCAGACACTGCTGCGTGGTCAGCAGTACATGACCTACCAATTTCCTATAGAGGTGTTCCATTTCTGGACTATTTTGCTACAATAGCTACCCACCTTCACACCCGTTGGCAACAACGTTGGTCAACTCTGCTTGGTAACAAACTTCATTCTATTAAACCGAGCATAGGTTACTGGCCGCCTTCTTGTCATCAGTGCTGAGGTTGGGAGACCACTCTCTCCCGCCTTCACATTGGCCACACTCGTCTCACTCATGGGTATCTCATGGAGAGGCACCCTGTTCCTCTCTGTGAGCAGTGTAAAGTTCCAGTATCGATTAGCCACATTCTGTTAGACTGCCCTCTCTATCAACGTGCACGCAGAATTTACCTCCAATGTTGTCTTCGTTCTACCACTCTCTCTTTACCTTCCCTTCTTGCTGATGGACCCTCCTTTAATCCTGACTGTCTCATTGACTTCTTGACAACGACTGATTTACTCCACAAACTCTGGTTATGATACCTTTTGCACTCCCCTCAGCCCTTTCTAGCTCAGTCTCTTGCTGCCCTTTACCCTTTCACCATCCACTGCCCCGCTGTTATCCGTAACCTATTACTCATCCATCTCCCTTTTACCACCTGATGCCCTCGCTTCCTTCCTGCTCTGCAGCGCTGTATAGCCCTTGTGGCTTAGCGCTTCTTTTTGATTATAATAATAATAATAATAATAATCATTATCAAAGTTCCCTCATAGGAGGTGTAGGTTTAGCACTTTTTTTTTTTTTTATTATAATAATATAAAGAGGAATAAGTTTACTGAGTATACCAGGAAAAGTGTACGGTAGGGTTATAATTGAAAGAATTAGAGGTAGGATTGCGGATGAGCAAGGTGGTTTCAGAGTGGGTAGGGGATGTGTAGATCAAGTGTTTACATTGAAGCATATATGTGAACAGTATTTAGATAAAGGTAGGGAAGTTTTTATTGCATTTATGGATTTAGAAAAGGCATATGATAGTGGATAGAGGAGCAATGTGGCAGATGTTGCAAGTATATGGAATAGGTGGTAAGTTATTAAATGCTGTAAAGAGTTTTTATGAGGATAGTGAGACTCAGGTTAGGGTGTGTAGAAGAGAGGGAGACTACTTCCCGGTAAAAGTAGGTCTTAGACAGGGATGTGTAATGTCACCATGGTTGTTTAATATATGTATAGATGGGGTTGTAAAGGAAGTAAATGTTAGGGTGTTCGGGAGAGGGGTGGGATTAAATTTTGGGGAATCAAATTCAAAATGGGAATTGACACAGTTACTTTTTGCTGATGATACTGTGCTTATGGGAGATTCTAAAGAAAAATTGCAAAGGTTAGTGGATGAGTTTGGGAAATGTGTGTAAAGGTAGAAAGTTGAAAGTGAACATAGAAAAGAGTAAGGTGATGAGGGTATCAAATGATTTAGATAAAGAAAAATTGGATATCAAATTGGGGAGGAGGAGTATGGAAGAAGTGAATGTTTTCAGATACTTGGGAGTTGACGTGTCTGCGGATGGATTTATGAAGGATGAGGTTAATCATAGAATTGATGAGGGAAAAAAGGCGAGTGGTGTGTTGAGGTATATGTGGAGTCAAAAAACGTTATCTATGGAGACAAAGAAGGGAATGTATGAAAGTATAGTAGTACCAACACTCTTATATGGGTGTGAAGCTTGGGTGGTAAATGCAGCAGCGAGGAGACGGTTGGAGGCAGTGGAGATGTCCTGTTTAAGGGCAATGTGTGTTGTAAATATTATGCAGAAAATTCGGAGTGTGGAAATTAGGAAAAGGTGTGGAGTTAATAAAAGTATTAGAGGGCAGAAGAGGGGTTGTTGAGGTGGTTTGGTCATTTAGAGAGAATGGATCAAAGTAGAATGGCATGGAAAGCATATAAATCTATAGGGGAAGGAAGGCGGGTTAGGGGTCGTCCTCGAAAGGGTTGGAGAGAGGGGGTAAAGGAGGTTTTGTGGGCAAGGGGCTTGGACTTTCAGCAAGCGTGCGTGAGCGTGTTAGGAGTGAATGGAGACGAATGGTACTTGGGACCTGACGATCTGTTGGAGTGTGAGCAGGGTAATATTTAGTGAAGGGATTCAGGGAAACCGGTTATTTTCATATAGTCGGACTTGAGTCCTGGAAATGGGAAGTACAATGCCTACACTTTAAAGGAGGGGTTTGGGATATTGGCAGTTTAGAGGGATATGTTGTGTATCTTTATGTGTATGCTTCTAAACTGTTGTATTCTGAGCACCTCTGCAAAAACAGTGATAATGTGTGAGTGTGGTGAAAGTGTTGAATGATGATGATAGTATTTTCTTTTTGGGGATATTCTTTCTTTTTTGGATCACCCTGCCTCGGTGGGAGACTGCCGACTTGCTGGGGAAAAAAAAAAATAATCATTGGAGGTGTCTTTGATCTCAACAAGGGACTCTTGATTTGAAAACTTGAATCTCTCTTTACCTTGGATTGAGCTTGATTGCATCCCTATTCCCCATGCACTAAGTGACCACTATGGGTTTAGCACTTCCCTATGATTATAATATGGTACAGTAATTTTAAGCATGTTTGTTGTGTTATTGATGAATGTAAAGAGTTTTTATGTAGAAATAAGAATGCATATTTTTATTCAATGATTTCATGCATCTTATGTTCTTAATTTTGTGGAATTTATTTTTCAGGAATTTGTTGCTCAAGAAACCAGTTCAGATGACGGAGAGGATAAACAGAGAGATGAATTATAGACAAAGTATCATGTTTTTTTTAAAATGTACATCACTCAAAGAAAATGGGAGTACACAGGAAGATAAAAAACTTGCTTTTAATTAAAGTACTGCTACCATTGGTTAGGGTTAGGCTTGGATAGTCCAAAAGAAAGAGTATATCCAAGTTAGCTTTGTTTTGAAGATTTGTAAATCTTAATTTTATTCAAAATGCATATTTTTTCTGTGTTAGATGTTCATTAATTGTATTTGTTAATACAGTAGTTCAAACATTTTTCTTTTAATTAATAGTTACTAATTAAAACTAATAATAATAATCACTAGTCCTTTGAGTGTGCATTTGCACATTTATACCTAATAGTTCCAACCAAATGACTGAATTTTGTTTTGCCCTGTACACAGCATGTTAGTGAACACAGTGTGTTGTCGTTTACAACCATTGTAGATAAATACTGATCATTGTTCAGTGATGCCAAACAAAATTTTTTCATCACAACTGGTTTCTCTAGTGGAAGTATTTAGGTGTAATAAAAAAAATTCAATGCCTGATCAAATTTCATAAACATGAGTTGGATATCATGCATGCAATATTGCCTGATAGCATTCCCATACTGTACTCATCCACCACAAGGGTACATAAAAATTTAAATAACATGCCTGAAAAGTCAAAATATGCAATGAAAATAATGATTTTCAAGGACTTTTCATATGATTTTTAAATTTTAAATGTCAAAAATATAGAAAAATGTGATTTTATTGCATATTTTGGCCCCTAATACGTGCAGTTCTACTACTTGCCAGCTCTGCAGTTGCGCTATGACTCATTTACACTATTTGTTGCAGTAGTAAAAGTGAAATCTATTTAAGTTTACAAGTTAGAAAAAAAAAATTACAGGGTTAGGGGCATTATTGAAATGCATACATGGCATATCTGGACTTTTGCAATACAGTATCCAGCTTGTACTGCACATTATTCAGGATAGAATGGCACCAGAAATTTTTTCACAAGGACAGATACTTTGAAAATTAGTCTTGGGACATTGGCAATGCATTCAAATAGTTCCATTTGCAAATGTATATTTGTAAATTATTAATCTTGAAAGTTGCAGAGTATGCAATGTATTTAACTTTGACTTACTGTAGTTGAGCTGCAGTTAAGGGCTGTGGGTGATTCTCAAGCTAGTGATTGCATATAACAATATTGTTCAAACAGGACTAGTCACACTTTTCATTTTGAGGTTTCAAGTGCTTTTCTTTCTGCTTAACACTTTCTCTTTTAGAGATCAGAAAAACTTGGTAGGAATTAATGTAGAGGGCACAGGCTTCAGCTACATTCCATGCACAGAATGTTAAATTCTGCCTTGTATTTTTGTGATGGAAGTTTTTTATAATTTTCTACAATAAAATCCATAAATAAATTTGTGTATTGAATCGATAAGAAATATTCAAATCCTTGTTTTTCCAAGAATTTTTTATTTTCATTTTGAACTCTTCAAAGGAGATGCCTCATTGCCAGTGAAAGGCTCTTGATCCAAGAACAACTCCTCCCTTTCCTTCAGTCATATCTGATTGCCTCCTATTTCTGAAGGTGCTTTATGACCCTACAGGTTTAGTGCTCTCCATGAAATAAAAATAATTTTTGAAAAATAACCAAATCCTTTAGTCATAATGCAATGTACAGCTGCAGAAAAAGTTCCTATACTTTGACACTGAGGTGTCAACTGGGATAACATTCACACCAACCAAACAATAAATTTATCTTCCCTAGTCCTGTACACGATATTCCTGAGATTGCTAGTATAACATGGTGCCTGATTTCTTGCGGGAACATGGTCATTTCCTGATGGAGAAAGACTTATTAGGACATGCCACATTCCACCCCCCAGAAAAAAAATTCTACATATTTTTTTACTTACTGTACTGGCCCTTTCATGGGAAGCTGCTATATAACTCTTCCAAAGGAAGAAAGGGTTTTCATGAAAAAGGGGCAAGGGAATAGATAAGCCATCACCATTGGGTGTATTTCCTCGATACTATATGCCTTTTTCCAGGTGAGTGCATCCTTTCTCGTCTTGCGGTTCCTCTCCCTGAGGACACCCCTGGTCACTTAATAGATCTATATAAATTCATATTGATTCCATGTACTCTCATCAGACATGTCTATCTCTTTTGTTCCTCTCCTAAATTTGGAAGAGTAACAATTAAGAGGCAAGGCCCAAGAGCTGGAATGCAACCCCCACAAGTGCACATGAGCATACAAAGAAACAATTCATGTGCATGTATATAAAACTGTTTTTGTATTAGATGCTAAAAATATTCAGTTTGGTTTGTCACCTTTATAAAGCACATTTGAATACAGAATAAACAGAGACAATGAAATTATAACCATTGTAGCATATAAAATACACATTAAACATATACAGTATTTAAATTATGTTTTATGTATAGGCAACATTCATTATGGGTAAAACTTTAATGTAAAAGAATGAACAACAATTATGCTATATTTCAATTAAATATAGTATACTGTCCAGACTAAAAAAAAAAATATATATATACATCTATAACATTTTGAAAATCAAACACAGGTGTAATAATAATTTTTATTTTTGAACTATTATGTTATCTTGGTTTGTAAAGTAAAGATGATAACATCCCTAAAGTTTTGAACACAAGTGTCAAGCTTATACGTAGAGTTTTCAAAATAGGTGAAACTAACCGAATTTTCTTAAATAATGAAATTTTCCAATATTTTAACCCCTCATGGAAGGTTCCTTGATGTTGGTGAGGGGCTCTTGATTTAGGGAATTGGAACTGTGCTCCAGTTCCCCGAATTAAGCCTGAATGCCTTCCACATCCCCCCCCCCCCGGGCGCTATATAATCCTACGGGTTTAGCGCTTCCCCTTTGATTATAATAATAATCCAATATTTTAAATTTTGCCTCATGACTAACTAACTGTAGCAAAGCTAACATACTATAATACAACAATCTTACCTATGCTAAAGCTAGCCCAACTTTAGTTACATATATATGTATATACATAAAATGCTGTGTGTTTATATAAAAGATGGGATGGTGAAGAATATTCAAACAGAAATTTCAAAATTTTCTTTGAAGTGGTTTTATTTACTTTGAGGCTATGGGTCTCCACATCAGCACTAGAGGCAGACCTGTCTATATCAGTTATGTATATAAAAAAAATTATTTAAAATTTTCATTTACAACTATAATTAATTTACATTCAGCTTGTTTGGCAAAGTGATTGTTGCTTTATGAATAAGCCAAATCATCTAGTTCTGGCAATAAAGCACTGCATTTATTTTTTTAAGTTTACACAAAATAGTTCTGACATTTTACATTTTTTTTTCTAGGGATTTACCTGGAGTTCATTACCTTAATAACTTGTTCAGCTATCAAAACTTTGGGGTCCAGTCCCTGGACCCATTATGTACCTCTGTAATCTTTTGACTGCTGCCCACAGGATGGGTATGAGGTGCATAATTAAAGATATTAAACTAAACTGTGTAGGTATTTTTTTTTCATACTGTTGGAAGACTGGGTGTGAAATAGGGTGGAGTTCTGACTTCTGTAGGTAGGTTGGATAGAGGCTGGAGATTGATTGGATTGGGAGGGTGGTGGTTCAGGACTGCTTTGTATTACTTATGAGTTGCTGGTATGAGTGGAAGGGTGGGCAAACTTGGGGTGATATTTAGTGGATTTTGGAGAGATGGTGGAGCTTGAGAAGAGGATATGGATAAGAGGGAAAAGGGGTATGATAGGGCTGACATGGCAGTGTGTAACACCTATATCACCTGAGTGTTCAACTCCTGTGTACTTATTTCATCCAGGGGCTGGTAAGTGCTTATTGTAAAAGTTCTACCTAAATTGAAAGAAGTGTCTTAGAAATACCTTCATGTAGTGGTGTATCATTTCCTAAGATGCAGGCCCCAGCAACCATCTAAATTTAATCCAGGTACCTGTATACTGTTAGGTAAATAGTTACTTGTCCATGTGTCTCGACCTGCCCAGGATTCAAATATAGGACCTCTCACTGTGAGCCAAATGCTCTAAGTTACATATTTCCATAGGGCTCACAGAAAACAGTGAGGTTCAAACTCATGGCAAGCCCGTCCTGAAAGTAGCAGGCCAGTGTATTATGCACTGTACCATACTGGCCATAAAGATTCATCTACATCATCCATTAGTAACACCCTCGAAGTGTAATTTCATTTTTGTGTGTAATTATTTGTGAGTGCCTACGTGAGTTTGTAGGGACTGGGCTGTAGCTCTTGGTTCAGTCTTGTGAGTTTCAAAGTACTGATCTGAAATAACCTTGGTATATATAATTTTGAACCCCATGTTTTTATTGTTACATAAGTAATTTCAACAGTGCACATAAAAATATGAGGAAAAGAAGCATTATCATCATTATACTGTGATCCATAATGCATTTAAACATATTCCCCCCAAAAAGCTCAAAACTATATGTATGCGTACAAAAATATGCCTGTAGTGATTAAAAATATGTCTTAAAGATTTAAGCACCATTAACAGTTTGTCATTAAGCACATAGACAATGAAAAACAATACAATTACAAAATCACCTATAGCCTCTTGTAAATGCAATGAGATCAGAGGAATGACTGGCTACATAGAATTTCCTATTTGTAATTCTATTTTGGCATAAAACAATGTATACAAGTTTTTAATTCAAACATTGATATACAGGCAGGCTCCACATTACAGCATTTTGCTAATACAGCGGTTTTTAATTATGCCCATTCTTCATTTATTCAGATTTCCTACAATAAATATATTCACCACTCACTATCAGCTAAGGACAAAAATATTTTCAGGTAAGTAATGTGTTTACAGTATATGCATTTTTTAGGCCTAGCTATATTGTTCACTTAATATATGATAGTGTAAACATGTTATCAGGCTTTAATATGCATTTGAAAGTGAAAAAAGCTATGATTCACTCTACAGCAGTAGCCCGGAACCTATCCTCTTGCATGAGCGGGACCCTCCTGTACAGGATGCCTGCAAATCTTTTTCTGATTTATTTTTTTTTTTTTTTACAACAAAATAGTAACGGATATGAAAAGGTAGTTTCCTGCTCATGATACGTATTTTGAACTACATGTAATTATAGCTTCATGGTTGTTTTATCTGTGCAGCCTCAATGTGTGCGTCTCTAGTTGCCCATAACACATCTAATTGGTATTCCAGTTCATTCCATGTAATGGCCAACATATCCGGTGTTATTTTTTCAGAGCAAATATGCTTTTTAGCACAGTGTTTTGACATTAGCAGCTGATGTCTGGAAAACACAGCCCTTCACAAGCTCCTATAAGGTGGCTAAAGGCATGATATCAGTCCATTTATTGTTCACATTTTACATTATTGATTAATTGATATATTCACTAAATAGATCTCTCATGAATTTTTTCACCAAATTAAACTCGAAAGCTTAATGTAAGGTTGCCAAAATCTATGTAACTTTATTTTTTATTTTAATCCCCAGGGCCTATATGACCCATAGGGGTTGTATATAGGACCTGGGGAATGGGAGGCATTCAGGTTTGGTTCAAGGAAGGGGAGGATAAGTACAGTTCCTTGGATCAAGAGCCTCTCAATACTCTCAATACATCTTTCAGGGAATGTAATCTAACACAAATTTATCCTGTCTAACCTAAGTAAAGTTAACTTAACTTCAGTTAATATTATTTAGTAATAATGGAATATATTAATTTTAGAATTGCAAATTAATTCTCAAAGAATTTTAGCAGAAATGAAAAAAGAACATAAAAATAGAGAATTGCAGTAGGCCTACTGGACCATACTAGGCACATCTTTCTCAAACCCAGTTCTTATCACTCATATCCAAATTACTTTCATATCTATTTAAATCCAAATTATCCAATTTGAATCCACTGTTTGAAATCATTTCTTGTATAAATATCCTCAGAACACTACATCTCTTATTTATACCCATCTTCCACTTGTATGCTTCAACCATATCTTCCACCATTCTGTCTTTTAACCCTTTGACTGCTTTGGTTGTATATATACATCTTATGAGCCAATGTGTTTGACGTATATATACTCAAAAATTCTAGCGGCTTCAAATCAAGCAGGAGAAAGCTGGTAGGCCCACATGTGAAAGAATGGGTCTATGTGGTCAGTGTGCACCATGTAAAAAAAATCCTGCAGTACGCAGTGCATAATGAGAAAAAAACTGTGTTTTTGGATTAAAACGCCGACTTTGAGGTGTATTTTCATATAGTTTTTATGGTTATATTCTCGTTTTTGTAGTCACATGTGATAGAATGGAAAACATTATAGAAATAGAAGTGATTTTGATTGGTTTTACTATGAAAAGGACCTTGATATGGAGCTCAGAATACGGAAAATGTTTGATTTCTGCCGATGTTCAAGAGTAAACAAATGATGTCATTGTCCAATAAATGTCCAATTAGCCATTCTAATATGCAGTCATGAATGGGTTGATGTTATTTATACAATCATTACAATATTGCAGTAGTCTGCATAACAGTAAATCTTCTATTTTTTGTTTGAATAAAAATTTAAAATAGAAAGCAAGAGTAATATCAGAGAGGCCTGGAGACATGACTGATGAACAAAGAAAATGATATTTTAGAGCCAGGAATGTCTGCAGTGTTCATTCTGGCCCCTATTTTGAAACTGGCATATTTTTTATTTGCGTGAAATTGGCCAAATTGCCAATTTCTGACCACTTTATTGGGTAGTTGAAATCGGTAAATGGGTAGTTTCTTGTACTCAATCGATAGAACAAATGAAGTTCTAAAGAAATAGTTATGAGTTTGGTCGACTGGAACAATGGAATTAGCCGAAAATAGGGCTCAAAGTGGGTGAAATCGCCGATTCGTAAATATCGCCGAGGTTGCTAACTTCGCGAGAGCATAATTTCGTAAGTTTTCCATCAAATTTCGTACTTTTGGTGTCATTACCATCAGGAAAATATTCTCTATCATTTCATAAGAATTTTTTTTTTTTTCAAATATTTTGCGACACCAAGAGACACCTCAGGATTTGGGGTTGCGACAGTCAAAGGGTAAAGAGTTAGCAGGTTCTGTACTTTTAAGTCTCTTCGTAGGAAAGAATCCTCATACAGTGGATTAATTTTTATCATCCTTCTGTTTATGCTCTCCAGTGCATTAATATTCATTCTGTATTTTTGGAGACCAGAACTGTGCTGCATAATCTAAATGGGACTTTACTGATATGTAGCATATATTTCTTGATATAAATCACAGCCGTCTGTCAGCCTTTTTTTTCACAAATGTTTAGGCATTGCCGTTTTCACTTCAGATTTCTGCTTACCATAATTATCTCCGAAGTCCTTTTTCACATTCTGTATAATCAAGTTCTATATTATTTAATTTTAAATGCTAAAGTTGTTTTCATTTTCTGAGATTGGCATTGTACTTTTCCACACTGAACTGCTGTATAGCCCTTGTGGCTTAGCGCTTCTTTTTGATTATAATAATAATCCACACTGAACTTCATATATTTGCAGTAAAGTTAAAAAAATGTGAGATCTTAATACAATGAAAGATACATATTCCGAGTGCTTTCATAATGTCTCAAATTTCTCAAGGAACAAAGAAAGAAATCGCCTGGATCTCAAGTGTGGACCTATAAGGAGTCATATGACAATGCCAGGTTAATAATGACTTAGTCTGTAAATAGCTTTCAAAACGTTTTCAGATTTTACTGATTATTAATGCACCCAGCTTATGAAGGCCTGAACTTGTATTAATATTACTATAAACATTAGTTTTTATAAGGACTGACAATTATATTTTATTCAGCTATGGATATACTAGCAACAATATTCTTATGTTTTAACCATCATAGTATGGTTAAAGTATGTTAAGTGAATAAACAGAACAATCGAATCATGGCCTGATCTTATATTATATATATGTCTTTTATTCAGTCTAATTATAGGCTTTTTCTGGCTTGTCTTACATAAATTTTTTCATATTTTGTGCAGAGGTTCTTATATTATCTATATTCTTATATTATCAATATTCTCTGAGAAATTCGTAATCAGAAAGAAGTTTCAAGTTTATTTATGATATTTACGTAATTTAAAAATGATAAAACTCTTTGAAATTATGACTAATACATTGTTGTTTATGGCTTAGACATTGTGATGATAATTAATTTTACTTAAATACAGGGTAATTGTCATTTAACTTGAGCTATAAGAATACTTTTGTTGAAAAGCACATTAAGGTCAGCCTGGGAGTTGATGGACAGCTTATCCTTTCTTTATATAGGGAGAGTAACCGGATAATCATTTCTTAGTGTAAGCACCTTGCTTGTTAAAGCACTTCATCTGTTCTTTTATATTGACTGATTTTTTATGTTAATCCCACGAAAGATGAGTTTGAATACACGAAAGCACTTAGTTTATAATTCTTTCATTTTTATTGTTTTTATGATATGATACTATCTTGAGCAATAGGTCAGGCATAAATGTTTCTTCTTTTTTTTTTTTGACGAGAAATAAACATCATGATTGAACACGTTAAGAATGAAGATGCCTTATAACAAAATACTAAACCATATGGCAAATATTTTTAAACTATTTAACAAACAAAATGGAGATCAGTATGTTTAACAATATGTAGCAATACACCTGCATATAATGATACATGTATATGGTTATAAAGATAGATTAAGTTTTAGGCCTCTCTACTACACGAGGGTCATTTTTGTATTACGTAGCTGTCCAAAGTCTTTAACCCTAACTCTTTACTGTTAGTAGTGGTGTACAATCCTGGGTTCCCATACAGAATCTCACTGAAGCAATACTATATAGATATACAACATTACCAAATAAATATGTACAATACACATTCTCCCTTGAAAGACAAAACAACTAAAAATACCTAAATTATTCACATGAATTTACAAAGTATATACAGTATATGAACAAATTATGTATGGGTAATAAGATTCAATCCAGTGTCCTCACTAGGTCATCAAAGGTACAAGATAATCTGAACCTGATCTTGCTCTTCAACCCAAGATTGTGAACGTCCAACTGTTAATCAAATCACATTTACAAATAAAAAGACACCACAAGGGTTTTCAAGAGTAAGCTCACACGTGCTACGTACCACCAGGCTCTGTTCCAACACATATATGCAGTGTGAGGAATACTTTAAATATAACTAAATGTCACTAAACTGTGATTAAAAGAGTTGCCATGTATTATTGTATAGTTCTGCACTGTATTTCTGCAGTACTGAACACTACCACACACGTTTTTGCTTAAACATGGGATCACTCGAGCACTAATATCACCAGAGAGTATCACAGACAGAAGGTGAGGGTTTCCATAATGTCAATGGAGAGCTTTCACTGCACTCTGCAACTACTACTGCATGCAAGCAAACATGCATATTTTACAAGTACAGTGGAACCTCTGGTCACGAAAGCTTCTGAACACGAACAAATCGGTTCACGACCAAAAATTCGCCAATTTTTGCATCTGGTCACGAACACATAATCGGGTGTCAAACAAACACAGCTGCACCAATTTTCCACACTTCCTGTTGTTTGTGTACACATAACAAAGATTCTCACCTTGTAGTCGGTCTCGGTCAGACGTGCATCCATTCGCTGTGAACTTCTTGTGTTGTATTTCATGTGTTTTTTAATTAATTTTGTTTTCTTGGTTATGGTATGTTTCTTTCTGTTATTTAAGGTTTTTTCTCTATTAAACTCTGCATTATTTTGTATGATTAAGGATTTTTCAAACTTTGATTGTTTTTCTGTGCTTAAAACTCCTTAAAAAAGAATGTTTACAGCGAACGGTTCGTAGGGAGGGGGGTCTAGAATGGACTCGTGCAATGTTAGTTTTCTCTGTTGTTCAAGGTTTTCTCAGTGTTATTCAAGGTTTTTACATTTAGTTTACTGTTACACTGTGCAGTCTATGGTATAATTAACTATTTTTGTGCTTAAAAATCTTAATTTTTTTTTATTATCACACTGGCCGATTCCCACCAAGGCAGGGTGGCCCGAAAAAGAAAAACTTTCACCATCATTCACTCCATCACTGTCTTGCCAGAAGGGTGCTTTACACTACAGTTTTTAAACTGCAACATTAACACCCCTCCTTCAGAGCGCAGGCACTGTACTTCCCATCTCCAGGACTCAAGTCCGGCCTGCCGGTTTCCCTGAACCCCTTCATAAATGTTACTTTGCTCACACTCCAACAGAAAGTCAAGTAATAAAAACCCATTTGTCTCATTCACCCCTATCAAACACGCTCACGCATGCCTGCTGGAAGTCCAAGCCCCTCGCACACAAAACCTCCTTTACCCCCTCCCTCCAACCTTTCCTAGGCCGACCCCTACCCCGCCTTCCTTCCACTACAGACTGATACACTCTTGAAGTCATTCTGTTTCGCTCCATTCTCTCTACATGTCCGAACCACCTCAACAACCCTTCCTCAGCCCTCTGGACAACAGTTTTGGTAATCCCGCACCTCCTCCTAACTTCCAAACTACGAATTCTCTGCATTATATTCACATCACACATTGCCCTCAGACATGACATCTCCTATTGTTCATAGGAGTCTGGAACAGATTAATTGTATTTACATACAATCCAATGACGAAATTAGTTTTGGGTTACGACCAAATCGGGTCGTGACCAGAGTTTAGGAACAAATTATGGTCCTGACCAGAGGTTTCACTGTATAGGGTATAAGAAAAAAAACTAAATTAAAGCTAGAAATGATAGAGCACAAAATGCAAAATTAGCACAATTTAGTTTTCAACTTTTACCAGTCGCTTTAGAGATTTAATGCACTATTTCTTGGGTGATACAAGCGAGTTTAACAAGCTGTATTATATGAGCAAATAAAGGGTATATAAGTTAGCGAAAAGCGCAGCACATGATTAGCAGCGGCACAAGGAGAATCATGGTGAGATAAATGTATACACGAGGCTCACACTTAGTCTCCAGGACATATGCGTGATCCCATCTAGTTTCCTGTGGCACCTCCACTACAGTCTCCTCGTTGGACCAGAACTTGAGGGGCATGGAACACTCGGTTGTATTGAGGCAAACTTCTTCGGACTTGTCAATGTTGTAAACAACTCTCTGCATCGTTAAGTTCAAGAATATATCATTGACATAGATTTCATTGTCACTGGAGAAGACAAAGTAATAGGTGCCAGTTACAGGGATGTCATAGACTATTTTGTTAATGGCCACGCTGTGGTAGTTGCAACTCCTGGCAGGCACAAGTGGAAGTGTGAGAATGACACCCTCACAACTGGCCAGAGCCTCCTCGCTGCTCGAGTAGGAAGATACATGTTCTTCCCTTGAGTTATCGTTCATTGTAGATTGATTAAATCTCCCTCTCTCGAATTTCAGTCCTTCAGGGAAGAAAATACGCCCTCCAATTACCTGCTCAGCTTTCGAAATATTCACTTTGTTTTGATTATGAGCTGCTTGTTTCATGTCTGAAATTTCGTTAGAGTCAAGTTGTTCAAATGCACCATTATCTGTGTCTACCTCTTCATCGACAAACCTCTTCAATCTTGATTGTCTTGACTTTTCATCTTCAGGCAACACTTCTTCAGCAGGATTTTTATCTCGAGCATTACTTTTCTTTCTTTTTCGCTTCCCTTTCAGACGTCTTCGTTTACCACCTCGTGTTTCGTCTTTTAATTTTCTGTTGACTTTGTTCAAACCGTCAAGAATTTTGGCATCTGTTGATACAATCTGTCTCGCTTCAGGGATGCCTGTAGTACTGTTTTCATCCTCGTTCTGTGTTTCTCCATTGTCCAATGCCATCTCTGGCACAACCGTAGAATTCTTGGTATTATTTTGCAGTATTAGGCTCTTGTTTAACTTCTGGTTTTCGGAAATAAAATTATGCGTTTTATCCTCAGTATGAAGGATTTTGAGTATCTCTGATTTGTCTTTGCTTATCCTGATAGCCTTCCGCAGAAGTTGACTGATGCTCTGGCGACGCTCTTCTGAGTTTATAGGAGGACTAGACAAAGAATTGTCATCCTCGGGATTGGAATGTTGTTCGCCTTTGAATGGATGTTCTTCAAAAGCTGTGGCAGCAATTAAATCTTTGTTTTGCTGTTGCAGTCTGTGTCGTTCATTGCTGGCAACATCATCATCTTCCTCTTCTTCTTCAGTAGAATCAAGCTCCCCAATCCATGCACAGCGGTGCAGGTTCTCCACGCCCCGGAGCACCATCAGCACAGCTCCATCCCACCTGACATACAACACAGAGGTTTAACACTAAGGTACTAAAGAGATAAACAAAAATGTTTAAATTTTAATAATTATTTTTTGGGGGTAAAAGAAAAATCTGGTTAGAAAAGAAATTAACGTTACACCAGAGCAACTTACAGTTGCCCCCCAAAAAATAGCTCATTAAATTATGTATACAAAATAACCCCCTGTGGCTATTTTGCAAAATTGTGACCCTTTGTTTCTGTGTCCCCTCTCTGGAACATCCTGTCTCTGTCCACCTTATCTATTCCTCGCAGTATTTTGTATGTCGTTATCATGTCTTCCCTAACCCTCCTGTCCTCCAGCATCGTCAGGCCGATTTCCCTTAACTTTTCTTCATAGGACAGTCCCCTTAGCTCTGGAACTAGCCTTGTTGCAAACATTTGCACTTTCTCTAATATTTTGACGTGCTTGACCAGGTGTGGGTTCCAAACTGGTGCTGCATACTCCAGTATGGGCCTGACGTACACGGTGTACAGAGTCTTGAATGATTCCGTACTGAGGTATCGGAACGCTGTTCTCAGGTTTGCCAGGCGCCCATATGCTGCATCAGTTATCTGGTTGATGTGTGCTTCCGGGGACGTGCTAGGTATTATACTCACCCCAAGATCTTTCTCCTTGAGTGAGGTTTGCAGTCTTTGGCCACCTAGCCTATATGCTGCCTGCATATAGGCTAGGTGGGATTAAATTCGAGGAGCCAGTTCCTGGACCACGCGTCCAGCCTGTCCAGGTCTCTTTGTAGTCCTGCCTGATTCTCATCTGATTTGATTCTCCTCATTAACTTCACATCATCTGCGAACAGGGATACTTCTGAGTCTATCCCTTCCATCATGTCATTCACATATACCTACAGAAAGTAGGCAGGAACAGTAGAGATGTGAAGACGATGTAATCAGTCCATCACCCTTGAAGTCGTAGAATTTGAGGTTGTCACTGTTACTAGGACTGACTCCTGTGGGACCCCTCTCGACAGAGGCGCCCACTGTGATACCTCGTCACATACCATGACTCGTTGTTGCCTCCCTGTCAGGTATTCTCTGATCCGTTGCAGTGCCCTACCTGTTATATGTGCCTGATCCTCTAGCTTCCGCACTAATCTCTTGTGAAGATCTGTGTCGAAGGCCTTTTTGCAGTCCAAGAAAATGCAATCAACCCACCCTTCCTTCTTTCCAATGTCTTACTTCTGTTACCTTGTCATAAAACCTATTTGTGGTTGCAGGGGTCATCATAGCTCCTGGCCCCACCTCTTCCCTGGTAGCTACTAGGTCATTCTTCCTGCAGAGGGAAAGGAGGGGTTGAACTGCTCATAAAAGTCCGATGGAGATTTGAGGAAATAGAAGACATGGATGAGACTGGAGGAAGGGACTACATAGTAGGTACACTTCAGTGTGGGGAACATAAGGTAGTCATTGCAGTGATGTATAATCCACCACAGAACTGCAGGAGGCCAAGAGAGGAATATGAAGAGAGCAACAGAGCAATGGTGGGCACACTGGCCGAGGTGGCAAGAAGAGCTCACTCGAGCAGAGCAAAGTTACTGGTTATGGGCAGTTTCAACCACAGGGAGATCGACTGGGAAAACCTGGAGCCACACAGGGGTCCCAAAACATGGAGAGCCAAAATGATGGATGTGGTACTGGAAAACCTTATGCATCAACATGTTAAGGACACTGCCAGAGAGAGAGGGGAGGATGAACCAGCAAGACTTGACATTTTGTTCATCCTGAGCAGTTCAGACATCGAGGAGATCACATACGAGAGGCCCCTTGGAGCTAATGATCACATGGTTTTGTGTTTTGAATACCTAGTAGAATTACAAGTAGAGAGGGTAACCGGAGTTGGATGGGAAAAGCCAAACTGTAAAAAGGGGGACTACACAGGTATGAGGAACTTCCTGCAGGAGGTTCAGTGGGACAAAGAATTGGCAGGAAAGTCAGTAAATGAAATGATGGAATATGTAACAACAAAATGCAGGGATGCAGAGGAAAGGTTTGTTCACAAGGGCAATAGAAATAATGGGAAGACCAAAGCAAGCCCTTGGTTTACCCGAAGGTGTAGGGAGGGAAAAACTAAGTGCAACAGAGAATGAAAAAGATACAGGAGGCAAAGGACCCAGGAAAATAGAGACTAGTTGAAGAGACAGAAACGAGTATGCACAGATAAGGAGGGAGGCCCAGCGACAGTACGAAAACGACATAGCATCGAAAGCCAAGCCTGACCCAGAACTGCTGTATAGCCACATTAGGAGGAAGACAACAGTCAAAGACCAGGTGATCAGGCTGAGGAAAGAAGGTGGGGAACTCACCAGAAGCGATCAAGAGGTATGTGAGGAGCTCAACAAGAGATTAAAGGAAGTATTTACAGTGGAGACGGGAAGGCCTCTGGGTGGACAGAACAGAGGGGGACGCCAACAAGGAATGTACCAACAAGTGTTAGATGACATACACACAACTGAGGAGGAGGTGAAGAAGCTGCTAAGGGACCTTGATACCTCAAAGGCAATGGGACCAGACAACATCTCCCTGTGGGTCCTTAGACAGGGAGCAGAAATGCTGTGTGTGCCACTAACCACAATCTTCAATACATCCCTTGAAACTGGGAAACTATCTAAGGTATGGAAGACGGCAAATGTAGTACTCATATTTAAAAACGGAGCCAGAAAAGAGGCACTAAACTATAGACCAGTGTCACTGATGTGCATAGTATGCAAAGTCATGGAGAAGATTATCAGGAGGAGAGTGGTGGAGCACCTGGAACAGAACAAGAGTATAAATGCCAATCAGCACGGTTTTATGGAAGGCAAATCCTGTGTCACAGACCTACTGAAGTTTTATGATAAAGTAACAGAAGTAAGACACGAGAGAGAGGGGTGAGTTGATTGCATTTCTTGGACTGCAAGAAGGCTTTCGACATAGTTCCTCACAGGAGATTGGTGCAGAAGCTAGAGGATCAGGCGCATATAACAGGAAGGGCACTGCAATGGATCAGAGAATACCTGACAGGGAGGCAACAACGAGTCATGGTACGCGATGACCTATGACAGTGAGCACCTGTGACGAGCGGGGTCCCACAGGGGTCGATCCTAGGACCAGTGCTATTTCTGGTATATGTGAATGACATGATGGAAGGGTTAGACTCAGAAGTGTCCCTGTTTGCAGATGATGTGAAGTTAATGAGGAAAATTAAATCAGATGAGGATCAGGTAGGACTCCAAAGAGACCTGGACAGGCTGGACACCTGGTCCAGCAACTGGCTTCTCAAATTTAACCCCGCCAAATGCAAAGTCATGAAGATCGGGGAAGGGCAAAGAAGACTGCAGACGGAGTATAGGCTAAGTGAACAAAGACTACAAACCTCGTTCAAGGAGAAAGATCTTGGGGTGAGTATAGCACAGAGCACGTCCCCGGAAGAACACATCAACCAGATAACTGCTGCAGCATATGGGCGCCTGGCAAACCTGGAGTTTACCTGGAGAGAGTTCCGGGGGTCAACGCCCCCACGGCCCGGTCTGTGACCAGGCCTGAGACCTGAGAATAGCGTTCCGATACCTTAGTAAGGAATCGTTCAAGACACTGTATACCATGTACGTCAGGCCCATACTGGAGTATGCAGCACCTGTTTGGAACCCACATTTGATCAAGCATGTCAAGAAATTAGAGAAAGTGCAGAGGTTTGCGACAAGGTTAGTTCCAGAGCTAAGGGGAACGTCCTACGAAGAAAGGTTGAGGGAAATCGGCCTGACGACACTGGAGGACAGGAGGGTTAGGGGAGACATAACAACATACAAAATACTACGTGGAATAGACAAGGTGGACAGAGACAGGATGTTCCAGAGAAGGGACACAGAAACAAGGGGTCACAATTGGAAGTTGAAGACCCAGATGAGTCAAAGGGATGTTAGGAAGTATCTCTTCAGTCATTGAGTAGTCAAGAAGTGGAATAGCCTAGCAAGTGAGGTAGTGGAGGCAGGAACCATACATAGCTTTAAGATGAGGTATGATAAAGCTCATGGAGCAGGGAGAGAGAGGACCTAGTAGCACTCAGTGAAGAGGCGGGGCCAGAAGCTGAGTATCGACCCCTACAACCACAATTAGGTGAGTACACACACACGCGCACAGTGGTACACATAGCAGAGGCGCTATGTGTACCACTAACAACAATCTTCAACACATCTATCGAAACTGGGCGACTACTTGAGGTATGGAAGGCAGGAAATATAGTCCCAATTTTTAAAAAAGGAGACAGGCACGAAGCATTAAACTATAGACCAGTGTCACTGACATGTAAAGTATGCAAAGTCATGGAAAAGGTTATCAGAAGAGTGGTGGAGAATCTAGAAAGGAATAAGCTTATCAACGACAGCCAGCACAGTTTCAGGGATGGGAAATCCTGTGCCACAAACCTACTGGAGTTCTATGACATGGTGACAGAAGTAAGACAAGAGAGGGGTGGGTAGATTGCATTTTCTTGGACTGTAAGAAGGCGTTTCACACAGTTCCACACAAGAGATTAGTGCAAAAGCTGGAGGACCAGGCAGGGATAACAAGGAAGGCACTACAGTGGATCAAGGAATGCCTGTCTGGAAGATAACAGCGAGTCATGGTACGTGGCGAGGTGTCAGAGTGGGCGCCTGTGGCGAGTGGGGCTCCACAGGGGTCAGTCCTATGACCGGTGCTGTTTATGGTATTTGTGAATGACATGACGGAAGGAATAGATTCAGAAGTGTCCCTGTTTGCAGATGATGTGAAACTGATGAGAAAAATTCAATCAGACGAGGACCAGGCAGAACTACAAAGGGCTGGTCCAGCAACTGGCTCTTGGAGTTCAACCCCACCAAGTGCAAAGTCATGAAGATTGGGGCAGGGCAAAGAAGACCGCAGACGGAGTACAGTCTAGGGGGCCAGAGACTACAAACCTCACTCAAGGAAAAGGATCTTGGGGTGAGTATATCACCAGGCACATCTCCTGAGGTGAACATTAAATAACTGCTGTGTTCAGGACCCTGTACACCATGTACGTTAGGCCTATACTGGAGTATGCAGCACCAGTTTGGAACCTACACCTAGCCAAGCACATAAGGAAACTAGAGAAAGTGCAAAGGTTTGCAGGAAGACTAGTCCCGGAGCTACGGGGCATGTCCTACGACGAGAGGTTAAGGGAAATCAACCTGACAACACTGGAGGACAGGAGAGATAGGGGGACATGATAACGGCATATAAAATACTGGGAGGAATCGACAAGGTGGATAGAGACAGGATGTTCCAGCAACAAAGGGTCACAATTGGAAATTGAAGACTCAAATAAATCACAGGGATGTTAGGAAGTATTTCTTCAGTCACAGAGTTGTCAGGAAGTGGAATAGTCTGGAAAGTGATGTAGTGGAGGCAGGATCCATACATAGCTTTAAGAAGTATGATAAAGCTCATGGAGCAGGAAGAGTGACCTAGTAGCGACCAGTGAAGAGGCGGGACCAGGAGCTGTGAATCGACCTCTGCAACCACAACTAAGTGAGTACACATATGACATAAACATTATCCTACATGAGCATAGAGATAACGTGTTACATATTGACAAAGTGCAATAACCACCATTATGAATCCTTTGTTCTGCCTTTCCAAGAGGACCAGAGGACCCACCTGGAACAAGAGGAGAGAGTGATAGTAGAGCCCCTGAGCAAGTAGAAGCCCCAATACTCCTTGATGTCGTCCCTGAGAACCAGGTGGTTTATCATGACATGAGTACGGCGCTGGGAGTCCACGTCAAGGGTGCTGGGAGACAGGTACCCGTTGAAGCTCCCGTTCATGTTCACATTCTGTGCCTGGTGAAGAAGGAATATGTTAAGTAATGAATGAGAATTGCAGAACATGTTAAGTGGGAATGTAATACGTAGAATAACCAAGGTGTCTTGTAATTCAATCTGGTTCGTCTATGTAAAATGTTGCGTGAAGATGGAAATTCCATAGATTCATTGTGAATAAGAAGTAAATACACACAATACTATGAACAGGAAGCAAAGGACTCATACGGTGCTGGCCGTCGTAACCTTTAAGGGCAACAACAAAAACAAAACATTCAAAATACGTAAATCATAATTTGGTGCTTAATAATCATGTTGAAAATTACCCTTATATATAAAGCATTCAAAAAATGGTTAATTTAATTCTGTATATAAGTTGGTAGAATTACCGACAATATGTAAAGTAAAAGGAGGACACAAGTGCAACTAATGTGACATTTTACTGTGGCAACGTTTCGCTCTCCAGGTGCTTTGTCAAGCCGTTACAGCTTGACAAAGTTCCTGGAGAGCGAAACGCTGCCACAATAAAATGTCACATTAGTTGCACTTGTGTCCTTTTACTTTACATACTTTAATTCTATTATATACAAAAATTAACGTGAAAAATAGTTTTGTGGATTCCTCAGATTCCAAATTAGATTTACGTTTCCTATGCAGAATAATGATTATATGTGCACAGACATACATTCATTCATTAAATAATGTTTCCAAAATTTGTAGTTTCCTGTATAAGTAAGTTTTATTTAGGCTACAACAACAACAACAACAACAACAACAACAACAACAATAATAATAATAATAATAATAATAATAATAATAATAATAATAATAATAATCCTTATTTCTACAAGTACATAGTACAACTTATACAGACCTAGAAAACAACAATGACAATTTGTAGAAAGCTTCTGGTAATGCAAAGCATTTCGAGCAACTTGGGTTAATTTTGTCCCCGGGTACGCCACCCACACCAGTCCGTGTACCGGGGAACGAACCTCGGACTTTACTGTGTGAGATGAGTGCAGTACCAACCGACCTACGGAACACACTTAAGTTAAAATTTTCACTATTAAGCAGCACATTTTCCTGATACCTGTGATATGCTTGTGATCAGTTTCGAGGGCTTCTCTATCCTACCAGCCCTGCCTGTGGCATAACTTCCTTGGTGAGTGTTTGTACAACAAGGCTGTTGGTAGAGAAGGTTGCATCTCTCCTCGTGTCATGCATAGCGGAGAGCTTCTTTCATTGCAGTATATCTCCCTGTGCCACCCACGCGTGTCAAAATGCTCAAACAAAACAATAATTCTTTTGCCGTTAGTGCCTGAAGTACATGGCACCAGCATCCCACTTAACCTGGCGCCAGGGCCCTTCTTAATGGTACTAGTGCTCCATATACCTGGCATCAGTGCTCCACCTACCTGACACCAGATGCCGGAGACGTGCCTACTAAGGAGACGCTGGTCAGTGGGCATCATAGGGTAGTGCCCGGGTGGGTAGAGTACGAGGCGGACATACAGAGGGATGGTGATAAGCAGTGTGGGCAGCACCAGAGCAAACACACATAGTCGCGCAACACGTCGAGGCCCACGAAGTAGTCCTGAGAATATAGAAAAGTGTAAATCTGTACACACATAAAAAAAAGCTTTCGTTTTAGAAAAGAATATGATACTAAAATTATGGCAATTATAATATAGTCGTCTTCCTATTTGGTCAGATATTTGCATTTGTATTAGTAACTTTTTACTTAATGCTCAATATATTAATTCATTTGCCAGATTATTGAGAAATTCTGGTGATTTTCCACATGAAAATGGTAATTTTGAATCAAATTGGTCACAGGCAAAATTAATGACCCAAAAATATCTACTTGCTTATGTCGTCTGTATGCAACAACTTGGTGCCATAAATGGGACACCCGAGCTCTATTTTTTCCCCTCATAAAAATTGCTTTACTATAACTGTTTCAATTAATACCATATGCACAACGCAGAGGACTGGATTTTTATCACACACTGACATTTTGCTTCCATCAGGACTGGAATTTATAATACATTTGCATAGCAATCCTTTCATGGATTCGCCCCACACCAGTCGCCTTATATACAACATCTATAATTTCTAGGGAAAACAGGACAAGAATAATTTTGAAAATACTGTGGATTTTTTTATAATTTTCCTGACATTAGAATATAAAAAAATAAAATAATATAATAAATGTTCATTAATGTGGTTGGTTTGACTCGAGAAATTTCGAATGATGGGGGGGGGGGGGATCCAGCACCGCAGAGAACTACGTAGGAGAGACGCAGGGAAAATGGCGGAGTAAAATAGGTTGTACGTAATTTTGAAGAAATCGAGCGTCATCGAAGCCAAAAATGTGTGGATCAGTGTAAATGGAGAACTGGTAATAAATAAACGTCAAGAGCTCCGATATTAGCGAGTTACAAGAGAATGTAGCTGGGATTATGGAATATAAGGAGACGCTGAATCGTCTGAGCAACTCAACACAGGTAATGTGCACTTCCTTGTACTTTCAATAGTTTACATAGTTGGCCAATTTTCTGTTAGCTATTGTTATGGAGACGTTAGGATGTGATTACCAATTCTAATGTGTGACCTAAGGAAGATATTACGGTGTGTTTATTAAATTTATGCATGTAATTTAGGGTCATTGTATATTCTTACAAAGTGTATAATTTGTGGATCAAACCATTCATTAGTAAGTCAAGTATTACCATACAGTCCACAACCATAAATTACAAGTGTTACTGGTTTAAATTGAATAATCAATAATTATAAGTCCAACTTAGGTGAGTGTGGGAGTGAGCAGGCATCGAAGGAAGTATATAGTGCTTAAAGTCTCGTCTATCTCCGAGGTACAACTAACATCAGTAAGTGTCAAGTTAGTTGTATCTGATCCAGATTATATATGTGTAAAAATTCAGGTCAGTATATGTTAACCTCATGTACATAAGTTCTCATATATAATAAATACTAAAGATTTTTAAAGAACTACGTAGTACAAAACAGGGCAGCAAACCTTCCCTGACTATAGTTAATTAAATTTACACTTTTAATTAAATACACAAAATATTGCTGGAGGAATTCGGCTCATTTCACGTAGCCCATACTGCGAAAGCTCTCAATTTAGTCCCCCTCCCCACCCATCGTTTGACTTTCACAGTCCAATTATACTGGCACATCATTGTTGTGAGAGTGACTTTCCTCCCCCTCCTCATAAACTTCAGCACTCACATACCCAGTATGAGACGTGCTGTAACTCCTCTCCTTCTGCACACTGGCTAATTTCCAGTAATTCCTAAAAAAGTGTTGTAGTTCAGAATCACTTCCCTTAACTATAAGACTAGAAGAGAGGAGAACCAGGGGCAACATAATTATTATATTTTATTCTTCTGATAAGCTATTCGCTTCCCAGTTTCGAGGTCGAGAACAAAAATTTACTTAATCAAAACACGAAACTACGAAGGGCAATAAAATTTCCTGTTACAATCTTACAGTTGTTTACTCCAAAAATTGTAATTATGAAACGGTGTATATGTAAAAGAAATGCATTTTTACTTTTCTAAGGACAATGAATGCCAAATCTGTGGAATGATAAGCAATACAGATGCAACTACCTTAGTTTTCCCAGCGTCAGCAATATGACCTCACCCTTCACAATCACTCGGTTTCAGACTGTCGAGTCCAAACGGCCGCTGATTTTGTACTCAAGGCTAACGGCTACCACATTTATCTTTTTTAGTAGACACCATCTATGGCAGTGCACACGAGTTCCTTGCAGCACACCCACATTAAGCCAACCAAACCACCGAATTAATCATCTCACGAAGACGTGCGTTAGGTGATTTTCCTTACGACTGCAGTGAAAACCACCCCTTGTAATACAGTACACACAGATAAGTCTGGAAGGTCTGAACAATACCTACTGTAGGCTCGAGTCCTAGATTTTTGAGAACAGTGAGGTACCACATGAAGAGCCACTGATATTACAGGTCATGGCGTGATTTTTCACAATTTTTTCCATAGATTTCGAGCACACTCCCACCTGAACAAAGACATCTTTATGGTTAACAGGATAACCAAACAAGGCTTATTTACAGAATCCTTTAATAGTGTGTGACCCACAGCAGCTGACTAGCATCAAGGAACCTATTGACAGCTAGGTGAAAAATGGGTAGAAGGTGTAAGACTTGTTCGTACGTTGCGGTTCTCTCGAGAATCAAAAACAACCCTTTCGGTTGTGAACCAAACTCTGCCAATGAGGAGGTAATTTCTCATATTTTTCTCTCAAGCCCCGGGCACACTCCTGCTTGAACGCAGTTTATGTCATGGAATCCCAACGTAGAAGATTGCACCAAAGAATGTATAATTGCACACGCACCAGGGCCATCTGCTGTGTAAAACTTCAAGAAATGACGGTATAGTTTTTTATTAGTACGAAAAAGTTAACTACAATGTTTCGGTTACTGCCTCAGCGATCCGATCTCAGACTAGGCCAAACAGACTACAAAGTTTTAAATGTATAAACATAAATGAACAATATTATTATTATTTTTAAATAATTAAAAAATATAATTATCTTGAAGTGGCATATCATGGCGAGATTTCGAGCAGAAAAATATCAAACATCAGTAATAGGACGGGAGAAGCGAACTGAACACGAATTATTAAATTTTATCCCTGAATGCAAGTATGTTGGGCAGTACAGAAGTGCTATAGAAAGTGGATAGTACATGTTAACTCTAACAGTTTACATGCCATTGGCGATATCAACACAACAGGAATGGCGAGTAGGTAGCGGGGAGATTGGCAAGATTTAGAGGTGCTTTTTTTCACAGGCAGGTATGAATATCGACCTTTGGTGTCTTGGAGGGGCATGGGGGATAGAGGATACCTCGATTTGGTCACTTGGGTACACGGACCCTTGCTCCATTCACTGTACGCCCTCACAGGGTACGTATCCAGCCTCAAACATTTTTAAGTTAGGGATGGTTATACCAGGGCATTATCTACCCTGATCTGTTGCACAATGTGCATGCCTTGCTCTTGTTCACCTAGCAGTAGCTAGGTACCTGGACGCAACTCTAGTTTATTGTTGTGGGTGGCATGCTGAAGGGTGACCTTAATTAAGGCTGGGCTTTTGAATGAGCATAGGTAGTGTAACAGCTCTTGGTCTATAAACGGAACTCGTTACAAATATGTTTCTGAGAATGAAATGTCCCTGAACTTGACACGTCACATCCCATAACATAGTATGTTTTCCTGATATGCGTCGTATGTAAGCGTATTTAAATATGAACCGGCTTAAATCATAATGAGATGGCGTATGCCAATTAAGGATGAAATTCAATCTTATACGTGGAGCATTTCAATATACTGCTTAGGCCGTATGATATAAGTATGGGCTGCCCAGTAGGTAGTTGGATCTATCGATACTTTTCCAACTACTAACTAGACCATTGTTTAAACACTGTCTACTAGTTTGAATATTTGGTAATGTGACTTAACATCTGCAGGGATTCAGACTGTCCTTCAAGGGTTAAATTTTTTGAAAATGTACATAAAAACATAAGAACATAAGAAGCAAGGAACACTGCAACAGGCCTACTGACCCATGCGGAACAGGTCCATGTCCCCCTTCCCCCGGATTAGCCCAATGACCGACCCAGTCTGGTCACCTCCACTCAAGGAAGGAGCACGGCACCAGACCCAGCAGCACAAGTTGAAGACTGAGACACTTCTGCAACATATGGGAATCTTTATTCAGGAAACGTTTCGCCACACAGTGGCTTCATCAGTCCAATACAAAGCAGAAGGTGTAAGGAGAGGAGGAGTTGAGGTAATCAGTCCCTCAGCCTGGAGTCGATGTGTTCAGTCCATCAATCTTGTAGAATGTACAGCATAGGGCCGTAGACGTGGCTTATATACTGTAGTCAGGTGAGGCGTAGCAGGAGGAGGCGGGGTCATAGTAGTACCATCCACTAGTCGAAGTAGGTCTTCGTCCAAAGGTTGGACAAGTGTTGAAGAAATCTTTGTAACAAGATCCCATGATGCTGCAGTGTCTGACAGTTGTGACGAATGGTTTGAAAAACCGACAAGTTGAAGATTGAGACACTTATGCAACATATGGGAATCTTTATTCAGGAAACGTTTCGCCACACAGTGGCATCATCAGTCCAATACAAAGCAGAAGGTGTAAGGAGAGGAGTTGAGGTAATCAGTCCCTCAGCCTGGAGTCGATGTGTTCAGTCCATCAGTCTACGCCTCATCTGACTACAGTATATAAGCCACGTCTACGGCCCTATGCTGTACATTCTACAAGATTAATGGACTGAACACATCGACTCCAGGCTGAGGGACTGATTACCTCAATTCCTCCTCTCCTTACACCTTCTGCTTTGTATTGGACTGATGAAGCCACTGTGTGGCGAAACGTTTCCTGAATAAAGATTCCTATATGTTGCATAAGTGTCTCAATCTTCAACTTGTCGGTTTTTCAAACCATTCGTCACAACCAGCAGCACAAGCTAGTCAGGTCCAACTCACACCCACTCATGTATTTATCTAACCTATTTT